AAAACCGCCACTCGAAGCATCCCTGAGCAGTGCAAACGGCTAATATACTCACTGCGAAGGAGCTAGAGGGTTGGCGATTTGAGCCCAGCCAGGGATACCTTGTAAGGAAAGTCTGACCATCTGCTTCCCCCAAACCAACCACTGCAAAACACGGGGAACACAGCTCTGCTCTGACACGTATGGGGTCACCACTGGGCACGGTTACCATGAGTCAGAGATGATTCAAGGACAATGGGTCTAATTGGTAGAAACGGAGAACAAGTGAGGTCCTTGGTCTCCCTCAGAGCCCAGGAGGGAAACTGTCTTCACCAACACACGTTGACACCCTGGGCCATGCCTAGAAGAGCCGAGTCCTCAGGGATCGGGAGACATGTGACATTTCCACAGAAAGCCTGGTTAATCTTGAGATGCTTATCTGATGCTGACCAAGGCCCCCAGGTCTTTGCAGCAGCCTCATTCCATTAGCACTTAATGTCCAAGATAAATCAGAAATCCAAAGCTACCGCCATGGAGTTGAGTCCGACTCATCGAGACTCTCCGTAGGGTTTCAAGTCTATAGATCCAAATCTTTAAGGGAGCGGGAACCTCCTCTTTCTCCCCTGGAGCAGCTGCTACACTTGAATCTCGGCCCTTGTGGTTAGCAGTCCAGCATTCACCTGACAGCCACCAGGGCTCTTCCATATCCACGTACACCCTGTGAAAGAGGCTACGACATGCTTTGGATGTATGTGAACATGTTTAAATCACAAGCAATAGCACCCACTGCTTTTCCCTCTTCCCATTTGTTTAGATTCTAAACAAAAAAATGTTCTAAACTTTAGAACTTTTTGTTTTACTTCCAATTAATACTTCTCCTGGGCCTCTTGCTGCGGCTGCAGCAACTAGTATTACCTACTACTGCTTGTGCTGTTTTCGCTGCATTTGGACCCCCTGATGCCCTTCATGGGAATCTTTTTCCATAGAAAATTAAGCAGAGACACAATGCCACAACACCCCAGAGATGCAAGCTATACATGACTGGGTGCTGCCACCTAAGAATTGAAGCATTTGCCTCTCTAGGGTAAATTTCATTTGTTAAGCAGATAAAGCTCGCATTAAAAGAATGATAGAAAGTACGCTATAGCACACATATAAATCGGTAGCATAGGTGTGCATTATGACTATCAAGACATAGACATACACCTGGCAGCTCCGTCTCATTGTATAGGGATGTGATACATGTGTGTTGCCTGGGAGAAGCTGTTATGTTCACTGTGTCGGCTTATGTCCCTGTCTCCCTCTCTCGTACTGGGATTTCTGAACTTGATTCTCCACTTATGTGACCATGGGCATACATGTAGTCAGATGTTACTGGGTTACGTGGCACATGTCCATATACTTTTTAGTTTTCACAACAAAACTGGGCTTTTTAATAAAAAAAAAAATACAACAGAAAGAAGTTCATTTACCCATATCTTCTTTAAAAAAATCAGAAACAAGAATCCATCCTGGACATCCTTTTCTGAAGTGTGATGTCCTAGTAATTTTGGAGAAACTGAAGCACGTTCGCCAGAGAAGATGGCAGTCGGTATCTGTGAACCTAGTTTGCTAACGGGTCCCGGGAATGTTGCCCTAAGGAGAGCGGTCAGTCAGCCTCAGAGGCAAGCTGAAACAAGCTTAAAGTCGCTTTGCAGAGGCTCGTAAAGGACGCGTGTGTCCAGCAGCAAGCCTTGCACCTAAGGGTGTCCTGTGGCTGTTTGTCCATCTCGGCGTATGGAGTGCTGCTAAGGTCTGATGACATCTGCCTGTTCTGGTCCTCGACAGCCCGCCTCCTCTAATCAGCTTCAGCAGGCATGTGAGGATGATCCCCTAGGCGCTCCTGTTGCCATGGTGTGAGTACAAGGTCCCTGCCCCTTCCCCACCCCATGTAACTCCATCCCATCCTGGTCCACTTCTCTTCTCTTCATTACTCAACAAAAAAAACAACAAACCCGTTGCTGTTCTGCAGGCTCTGACGGCAGCCTCCTTCCTGTCTGTCAGAACAGAACTGTGCTCCATCAGGTTTTCAATGGCTGGTTTCTCAGGCCTTTCCTCTAAGCTGCCTCTGGGCGGATTCAAATGGCCAGCCTTTAGGCTAGCAGTCAGGCACTTCAAGTGTTTGCACCACCCAGGGACTGCTTGTCTTTAGATGAAATCATGGTGTGTAGAACAATCAGGGCTGGTAAGGGATGTTCAGCTTGGGACTTGTGGTTCTTGATGAGTGGATGAGTTGTGGGTAATTTACATTTTTTTCTTTTTGCTTATTTGTATTTTGTAATTTCTCCCCCAAAGCAAACATATATTGCAGTGGCAAGAAGAAAAAACGTATATAAACTTTTGATTTTTAAGGGACCACGAACATGCCTTATACTTGTGAACTATGAGGGGGGACCCCCAAAAACCGGAATTTATTTTTCAAAGCTATGGATTTAATTTTTTTTTTTTTACAAAACAACCTTATCACCTTCAAAATACTCTCCATTACACTTAATACATTTGTCAAAATCTGCAATTCCATTCTTGGAAACATTTTTTTCAAACTCATCTATTTGGATAGCTGACAGCACCTTCCGCACTTTTTGGGTCACTTCCTCCATGTCATCAAATTGCTGTCCTTTCATTTCCCTCTTCATTCGCGGAAATAAAAGAAGTTGCATGGAGTGAGGTCAGGTGAGTAAGGTGCACGGGGCAAGAGGCATGCTGTTTCCTCCCCCCAAAAAATGCACACTTGAGATGTCTGCGTGAGTGGGTGCTTTGTTGTGGTGACAAAACCAATCCCCCATCTGCCACAAATCAGGCCTTTTTTGTCACACACTGTTACACAATCTTTTCAGAACCTCTAAATAGAAAGCTTGATTAACAGTTTGACCTAGTCGAACTCCAAATATACTATTCCCTGTTCATTAAAAAAAATATTGTCTTATCTTTTATTTCACTTGAGTTTTTGTGGGGCAAGGTGACGATGGCATCTTCTACTGGCTTGATAGATGTTTGGTTTCAGGGTCATAATAGCACCATGGCTCATCACCTGTAATGGTCGTGGGGGAAAAAAAATGTCTGGGTCGCTTCGGAGGTGTTCTTTCAAAGCATGGCATGTTTCCAGTTGGTGCTGGGTTTCCTGGTCAGTCGGAACCCGAGGCACAAATTCCACAGCAACCATTCTCACTTCCAAATCTTCTCTTAAAATTCACTGATAGTCCAGATAACATCCCCATTTCTTCAATGGTCTGTCATTGGTCTTTGAGCACAAGCGCACAAATTTTGTTGGCATTTTCATTCATCCGGGAAGTTGATGGACATCCAGAATGAAGTTTGTCATCAATGGACATTTTGCCTTTTTTGAAACAAGAAAACCAATCTTAAACTCGCGTTTTTCCCATAGTGTTGTCCTGGTAAGCTGTGTTCAACATCACAATCATTTCTGCAGCATTTTTCCTGAGCAGGAAACAAAATTTCACAACCGTAGCTATTCTCTTAAATTGGCCATCAGAAAAAACAAAGTTCGAGCAAAACCGCTTTTACAAAAAAAATTCACTGTGACTAGAGAGAACCTTACTAGGGGACACCACTGGGTGCACTAACTCAGAGCAGAGTTCCTGGATGCTCACTATGAAAGCTCCACCCAGCAGAGCTTTTAAAAAAAAATTTGGAGGGGTTAACCCCTCTTATGTAGTTGGCCTTCTTTCTTTTGTTGAGGGGATGGGGACAAGATTGTGTGTCACAAAAGAAGTGAAGTCAGTTTCAATTTTACTTTTTCTCCTTTTATAACCACGCGGACCTGTATTTAGGTCTGACGGGCAAGAAATCTGGAGGGGTAAAACTTAAAAGGCTGCGACCCTTCTCGCTCTCTTTTTAATTTTATCCCCCCCCCTACTGCCCTTTTATTTGTGGGATATAACGCATGCAAAGAAAAAGCACACTGTGCGCAGGCGTACAGCCAGTCTCATGCGAACAGTGGCATGTCCGTGATTCTTCCTTCCTCATCTTTCCCCACACGACCTCCCTCCTGACTGCTGCCCTTGCCGCTACCTCACCCCACCACACCCCACACACCCCCTGGCCTTGTCATGGTCTCCAACGTCTTTTCCTTTGGTATGAAAACCTTTTGTTCCTTTTATAATGGTGGCATCATGAAACATTTATCACGGTCTTCCTTCCTGATGGCTGAGTGATTGGGCGAGGAAGGTGGTGAACGGCACTCAATCATCATCCACATTCACACTGTGAGTGAATTTTACGTGGTTCAAATGTGGGCAGCTGACCTTCCCAATGGTATCCTTTTCCCTTTGGCACCTTGGATCTAGAGACGAATCAAAATGTATGAGCCAGCCTCTTCCGATCAACTGTGACTTCAGAGGGTTGGGGGTGAGAATCTTAGGGAGCAGTTCATAAATCTAGGAGCTCTCCAGTGGGGGCAGGGGGGTTGCCTTGTTAGTGTCCTTCAGGAAAGAAGCCCCTCCGAGCTGCTGGACTAGGGGGTGGAAATGGAATAAACCCGAAAACCGCACTGGCTCCTTGTGATCCCACAGGGCAGAGTCGAACTGCTCCTGAGGGTTTCCCAAACAGAATCTTTTCACGAGTAGACAACCTCATCGTTTTAACCTGCAGAACAGCGGATGTGTTTGAACCTCTGACCTTGCAGTTAGCAGCCCAATGCGTAATCCACTGAACCAACTGGGCTCCTTGTGGCATACACTAGGTTCCATAAAATGGGAAAGATTACATGGAACATACTTAACACCCCCACCCCGTGCAAAAAAAGAAAGTTCGTATTTTTAATCTGAAATTCACCTTTAACTAGGCATCCTGCATTTTTATTTACTCAATCTGACCCTCCTGCGACTGGATGCTCTTCTTCTTCACGACCGCCACACCCCAGGTTATGGCCAAACCAGTGCCACAAGAGGGACCCTGGACCATCACTCTCTTTCCCTGGACCACACATGACCTCCACTCCGCCCTGCTGTCCTAAGGACACCTACCTTTTTCACATCTGGGACATTGAGGGCTTTCTTCGTGTGAGCAACCCAGCCCACAATCCCAATGTCCAATGGAAATACCACTTCTTTTCCGGGGCCCACCAGGCTGTCCTCAAACTTGGAGGCTGGGGTGACGTTCAGCAGCCTGGAGGCCACCTCAGGTGTGCCGTTGCGGGCCCGGCACAGGAACATGCTGCAGCGGTCAGCCCCCAGCAGCTGGGCCAGCCTCTGCAGGGCCCTGTGCACCACCGACTCCATGCTGCTGGCCTCCTCCTGCATCAAAAGGAGCAGCTCCCAGCACACAGCCGACTCCTCCACCTGGCTGAGTTCTGAGAAGGAGGCACTGGTCGTGATGGCCAACGGGCTGTTCTGGAAGATTCCTCCCAGCACCTCCACCCGCAGCTTCTTATTGAAGTATTCCTTGGCAAAGCAAGGGTTTTCCTCAAGGTATTTCTCTACAGCATCTTGGCTTATCTCACTCATGGTGCAGCTTGCTTTTCTGGGGTTGGTCAGTCCTCAGAGTGCTGCTACCTGAAGTAGAATGCCAAGAAGGAAATATATCCTGGTCAAAAATCGTAAGCAGCACCTCATAGAAACCACAGAGGTCAGGCAGAATGGCCACCCAGGAGCTCTGAAGCCGCCTGAAAGGCTGGAGATAAGACAGAAGGGCCTGGCTTAGGGTGGGACTCAGGAAGCAGAGGATAAAAGAGTTGCTTGGGGCACTAAATCCTTAAGTAGTATTAGCTCATAAGTCCCCAGAGAATCCTCAGAGCATCTGAGATCAGCCAGACAAGTGGCAAATTGCGGTGTCTATTGGGAAAATAAAGGGACATTACTCCTGTCCACAGCAACAAGGAATCATTGGCAGACCCTGTCATTCTATTACAGTAGCAGCAGGTGACAACTGGATCTGTCCTCCCTACCTACAGGCAAGGCAGTCTATTTAGAACTCAGAAGTGGTTTCCGAAGAACAAACCTTGACCTTGCCATTAGAGTGGTGAACATGACAAGATACATGCCGGGATTCAGGCCTAATCAAGCCACAATCGAAGCAATAATCCCTGTCAAGATTAGGAGAAAGGGATGAAACTAGAACCCCCTTCCAGGGGGACAAATAAAGGAAAAGTGGGTGAGGTGTGACGGAGGATGATGTAAAATATGGAAAAAATAATCTATAGCTTATCAAGGGTTTCTGAGGGAGGGTAGGCGGAGGAGGGAGGGGGAAGAAATGGGGAGCTGATATCAGGGGCTCAAGTGGGAAGAGAATGCTTTGAAAATGATGATGGCGGCCTAGGTGCAAATGTGCTTGACACACTGGATGAATGTATGGATTGTGTAAGAGCCCCCAATAAAAGTGTTTTTTTTAAAAAAAAAGATTAGGAGAAAGACAAGCCTTTCTACTCTCATAAAGAGCTACAGTCTCGGAAACTCGGGGAAGCAGGTCTACCCTGTCCTATAGGCTTGCGGTGAGTCAGCATCCTCTCCAGTTTTCCTTGTCAAGATACGTGATCGCCAAAAGGCAACCCATACAGCTGCTAACTGGGCTTTCCTGTTCAGCACCTCCGTTTGAACGCGATGCATTTTTGCTCCAAGCTATGGCCTGTTTGGCTCTCCTGGGTAAGGGCGGGTTTTTCTGTTGCTAAGATCTTCACTGCCTCGGGGGCTCCGGCTGCGGGAGGAGCACTTAGCACTACTCTGTTTTGTTTAATGTTCAGTTTATCAAGATTTTGCACTTATTAAGCACGTTTCCCCAAATATTTAAACACTATTATGCAACTAATAAATCAAACTCCACATTTCATGAACCAATGTTTTGAATAGATAAATGCTGGTTGCCTTCATCAAGGTCGTTGCAGCATTTGGGTAAAGTGACAAGCCCACTGTGATGAATTCTCTTCACTCACAACCACACACAAAGCGTGACAGTGACTCTAGACATTCACACTTGAACCGCGTTCAAAATGCCAACTGGGTGGATTCCATTTCATTCTCAAATGTAATGCTTTACCTCACTAGCGAGAGTGGCAATACTCTTGTTAGGGGCTGAAGGAAAAGAGAACAATCGGACAGTAAAAACGAACCTGGGAACATGGTTTTCTCGGTGGCAGGGAATCACAGGGGCTGTTGGTTGAGCTGTGTCCCTTCTTACTGCCCAGGTTGACTTGGTATCTCAAAGGCCTGTTGCAGGCACACTCTTTCTGGTCCTTTCCTGTGACACACTCCAGGAAGATCTCAGAAGGGTTTATTTGGGTTACTCCCAACACCTTCTTAGCATCTCATTATAATTAGAGGAAAGTACAGGGTCACCTCCCAGGTGAGAAAAGTAGAGTTGGCCAAGTCACCTCTCTCGCTGAACCACTTTGCTTGTGCATCATAATCTTGTAACAGTTTGGGGTCTTCTTTCTATCTGATTATTTTGTGTGACACCAGGGCCGTACTTCCAAAAGTATATGTAATACTTATCATTTCTTGATTCCATCCTTCCAACAGAGAGTAAAATGCCCATCTGTAATACATGGATGGAAAGAAAGAACAAACAGCATATCGCAAGCTGAAAAACACTGAAGGAAAAATTCAAGCCTTGAATTGCAATATTGAAGGATTCTGTGGGAAAAAGAAGGAGTCTTGGTAGCTAATGAGTTATGTGTTGGGCTGCTAACAGTAAGGTCAGCAGTGAGAACCTACCAGACTCTTCGAGGGAGAAAGATGAGGCTTTCTGCCCCCCAAAAGATTTACAATCTCAGAAACCCAAAGAGGCAGTTCTACTCTGTGAGAGGCTCAGTATGAGTCAGAATTGACTCAATGGCAGTTATTATGGATAAAATACTGAAGAATGCAAGCAAGAATCATCAAATGAAGATGGAAGGGGGATAAAAGAGAGAGTGAGAGAAGATGGAAGGAATGTACAGTCATTGTACCAAAAAGAATTGGTCAACATTCAACAGTTCAAGAAATAGCATAAGATCAAGAAATAGCATTGAAGGAAGACAACCAAGCTGCTGTGAAGACATTGGTGAAAAACAAAGTTCTAGGAATTGATTGAATATCAATTGAGATGTTTAAACAAGATAATAATTCACTAGAATCATTCGTGAGTCTATGCCAGAAAAATTCAAAAGAACTGGCTGGAAGGAATCTATATTCCACATTCTGTTGGAATGTGGAAATTATCAAATTATATCATTAATATGTCACTTACTGCCATTGTCGTCTGCCATTGAATGTTATGGTCTGCCAGATGAACTAATACATCTGTCTGGAAGTCGTGCACTAGAATGTTCCTTAAAAGCAAGGATGTTGAGACTTTGTCTCATGGACTTTAAGCATATTATCAGAAGAGCCCGGTCCTTTGAAAAGGCCACCATGCTTGGTAGAGATTTGGTGAAAAAGAGGAATACCCTTGTGTTAGTCTGGGCAGACTAGAGAAACAAATTCATAGGCACTTATATATGTATAAGAAAGAGCGTTATATACAAGAACAACTGAATATTGAGAAAACATCCAAGCCCAGTCGAGATCAAATTCATAAGTCCAATATTAGTCCATATGTCTGATACCATCTATAAAGTCCTCTTCAGACTCATGAAACACATCCAATGATGCAGAATGCAGGACAGTCACAGGCCAGTGGGCAGAAAGTCTGTGGATCCAGTGGCAGTGGGTGCATCTCAGCACTGGCAGGGGTCTCTACATGGCCCCTCCAGCTCCAGGGCTCTAGCATAGCTCCATGTGTCTTCTCCACAGGAATATCTGGCAGGGAGTAAGCATGTGTCCTGCCTCCAACGAGCTATTTATCTCCTTAGGGCCTCCAACTGAGGTCATCAAGCTGCGACCCGATTGACAGGCTAAGCTCCACCCCTTCCCTCCTAAGTCTCAAATTGACAACAGATTATGTAACTACCACAACCCTCAGTGAGATGGATTGACACAGTGACCAGCTACAAACATAACAATGATTGCGAGGATGGCACCGGACTGGGCAGTGCTTCCTTCTGTTGTACATAAAGCCACATGCTCAGTCAGAAGTGACTCCACAGCACCTAACAGCAGCAGTAACATATTTTACAGAGCTACAAATAGTAGAAAAATAACAATATCTATAAGTAAATAAAATAGGTTCCTATTTTCCTACGTATAATAATGAAAATCAATTTTTAAAAAGCAGTCCATTATAATCAGTATCCTTTTGGGTTTTTGTTTGTTTGTTTGTTTTTAATCATTTTATTAGGGGCTCATACAACTCTTATCACAATCCATACACACATCAATTGTGTAAAGCGCATTTGTATATTCATTGCCCTCAGCATTCTCAAAACATTTCCTCTCCACTTAAACCCCCGGCATTAGGTCCTCATTTCCCCCCTCACTCCCTGCTCTCCCCTCCCTCATGAGCCCTTGATAATTTATAAATTGTTATTTTGTCATATCTTGCCCTGTCCGACGTCTCCCTTCACCCACTTTTCGGTTGTCTGTCCCCCAGGGAGGAGGTCACATATAGTTCCTTGTAATCGGTTCCCTCTTTCCTACCCACTCTCCCTCTACCCTCCCTGTATCGCCACTCACACCACTGGTCCTGTAGGGATCATCCGCCCTGGATTCCCTGGATTTCCAGTTCCTATCTGTACCAGTGTACATCCTCTGGTCTAGCTAGATTTGCAAGGTAGAATTTGTGTCATGATAGTGGGAGCGGGGAGGAAACATTTAGGAACTAGAGGAAAGTTGTATTTCTCATCATTGTTACATCGCACCCTGACTGGCTCATCTCCTCCCCGAGACCCCTCTGCAAGGGGATCTCCAGTCGCCTACTAATGGGCTTTGGGTCTCCACTCCGCACTCCCCCCATCATTCACTATGGTAAGATTTTTTGTTCTGATGATGCCTTATACCTGATCCCTTCGACACCTCGTGGTTGCATAGGCTGGTGTGCTTCTTCCATGTGGGCTCCTTTTGTTTTTATAGTTACTGGTACATGTATCTGCTCATTTTTTCCCTAAAAGATGTATATTGGTTGTCTAGTACAGGGAAAGCGCCATATCAGCTACTGTGGGAGAGATTAGCCTCTCTCTGCTGGTCCTCTCCATCCGCTTACATGGTAGCATGATACTTCTCTGCCTCCCTACCTCCATGGGTCAACCATGGGACAAGTTCTGACCAATGGATTGTAGACAACATGAAATTGATGACTTTGTAGCCGTTGGTAGACTTCATTGAAAAGATTAGTTTGCCTCTTCCACCTGAAAACACGGACTAACCTTTCCATGTTTCTACCGTTCTGTAAGCGCATACTGGAGAGAAGTGACGTTGTTTCCTCGCCTTCTCTGTCAGCATGTGGGTGTTCATGTCCATTCATACACAATGCAGCTGGCTAGAAATACTTCATGTTTATAAAGAGAAAGGCATGGTTCCTTGTATTTGCTCTTTCAATCATGGCAAAACATGTTACAGTGTTTTCAAGGGGTGATCAACTTGTTTGCTTTGCTATT